TATCCACTGTCTGTCAGGTGTTAGGGGGACAATGGGGAACAAAACTATCCTTTTCTTCAAGGTGTTCAGTCTGGGGGTACTGACATGTAGACACAGAGTGAAGCTGGGATGCATGCTGTGACTGGAAAAACATGGATTGTGGGGTGCTAACCAGGGTAGGAGGGAGCCCTAGAGAGGCCAAGGCAAGACACTCACCTGGTTGGCCATTTCCAAAGACAAAAGTCTCTTCACAACATCATCAACCCTGTGGAAAAACCAGAGCAATGAATGACAAGTGTGGGAGAAGGGGGGAGTGGAAGAAATGCTGTTTTCACTTTAGTTTAAAAAGCAAGGATGAGGAGCTGGGGATGTGGCTCATGGTAGAGCACTTGCCTAAGCACTCGTGAGGCCCTGGATTCAATCCTCAGCACCACATAAAAGTAAATAAAGTAAAGGTATTGTGTCCATCTACAACTAAAAAATAATTAAAAAAAAAAAAAAAGGATGATTGAAAATTCCTTCTACAACAAATAAGGATCTCTGGAGGTGGGGAGCCATTTTCCAGGGCTTAAAAGTCTGCATGGCTCTGGCTTGCTGGGCTGAGAACATGGAGTGATATGATAATTACAGAAAATTGCAGCTGTTGGCTTGAGTGTTCTAGTCTCATCATAGGAAGGGCAAAGGGAGGATTTTCATTTTCAGCTACGACATGGGTCAATATGTCTTTGAGACACTTCAAGACAAACCTGCACATTGAGTGAGACTGTAGGATGCCTTGAGTGGAAGCACTGCTTCCACTGAGGAGGACCTGAGTGTCTATCGGCACTGGATTCATACCTCTTAGGAGATATATGACATGGGGCAGCTTAATATTCTATAAGACAGGGGACATGGTTTCTTCTCTCACAGGGCTTTTGTGAGGATCAAGAGATGGAAATTTCTACAAAGACCTACAAAGCATGTTAGCTCCTTGCTATCTAGTAGTAGGTCTTCTCTCAAGAGTACTGGGTACTGGGGGGGTGTGTGGGGGGAAAGCAAGTAGTTGAGCTCCAAGAGTCCCATCTGTCCCTGCTGCCCATTCACCCTGACTATACCTGGGTCTTTTTATCTCTCTYATTCATTTTATAATCAAGCCTAAGATACAGTAGGTCAAGTCTCTTTCCCCACTCCCACCAATTTTCCCTGCCTCCTCAAGTGGGTTTCTTCCTGCTTACTTCTCAATTCCAGGGATGTTCTGGTAGTCTTTGAGCAGCGTGGAAGGGGGTGGATCATTGTCTTGCTTGGGCTGGACTGTCAAATATAGGGATGGAAAACACCAAGTCAACTCTGACTGCTTCTCCTGACATATTCCCCAACCCTATGAGAGACATCCAGGGTCTCAGACACGGCATTGGATATCTCTGGGCTTAGTTTTTCCTCTGCAAACCCTGTGGGCACTTGCTTTGATATTTCATTCTGCAAAGAGATGGTCTTTCCCAAGACCTCATACCTGTGCCTACGCCTCTCAAATATCTGCCTGGGTTCTACTGTTATCAGATTCCCCACTAGGTTGGGCTCTCCAATGGACAGGATTGAGTTTGATGCCCTTTGYACACCCCCCCCCCCCAAGTCTGGTCCATAGCCCAGCGCAGAATAAGCTTTCAACAAACACTTGCTGGCTGATTCAAGAATTAAATAAGGGGGTTGAGGAAGGACAGCTTTAGGACAGCTGAAACATAAGTATCAAGTATAGATCACAGGAGAAGCTGAGCTTTGGTGTTTGCCTCCCTGCTGTCCCTTGGAGGTAAGGGATACACATGGGGTAGATCTACTTGTCCTCTCTAGTCAGACTCTGCTCTGCTGCTATGCAAACAACACTAGTAGCAGTAAGTTCTAATATATACTATTATTTATTAAGCACAGTGCTAAGTTGGCTTTTCATGTGTTATCATAGAATCCTAACAATAAAGCTCTCCAATGGATACTTTTACATTCATTTTAGAAATGAAACTCAAAGAAAGTAACTTGTCCCAAACAACTTAGTTACCTAGTAATGGTTATGCAAAGGGAGACATAAACTGCTATATTCTAGGAAGGCCTGGGTGGTGTCAGCCTTGCACCCTTGCTGGCTAGAGCTCATTTTCAGGCATTCACCCTTTGAAATCTCTTGTTGACGTAGTCTTCTGACCCCTTTGCTCACCCATTAAATAGCTCTAACTCGCTATCTCGGTCCCTTTGGCCACCCCAAGCCTTCCAGGCGGCCTCTCCTGCCCCAAGCCCACCTACCTGGGTTTTGGACGGCATATCCACGAGCCGCCTGTAGGAGACCTACGCAGAACAGAGAATACTGAGACCCATTTCCTTAAACTACCCAGCCCTGATTGATTCTGCACCCTTCGCATTACCCTTCCTCCACGGTCGGTGTGCCGCTGAGCCGAACTGTCGCCCCTTTTATCCTCCAGCCCCTGCCCAAGTCTCCCCGACCTCGTCTCACTCCTTGGCCAGCCACCATTCTCCCTCATCCTGCCGCTGCTCTTCTCCCCTATCGCGTTCCCTGCTAGCCCCCACTCCCGACTCCCGAAGTCCCACTTCTCGGCTCCTCACTTGGAGGCTGCAGGCCCCACTGGTCGGAGAGAAGCCTGGCGTTCCCTCTCCCCAGCAGGCCAAAGGCTGGGGCCTGGGTCATTGCCTGGGTTCGAACCGAACTCAGGGCCCTCCATGCGGCCCTCAGCATGGTGACTTCCGACCCCAACCGGGCCCGCGCCGCAGCCACCGTCCCCTTCGCGGTTACGGACAAGGCTACACGGGCGACGCCATGATGGCTCAGGCTCGACCAATCGAGGCAGTTGCTCGGCCTGAGCAGACGAGGACCGAGAGAATGGATTGGCGGGCAGGACTTGGTGAGTTCGCGGATCGCTGGGTGGAGTTAGTCAGCGGCGGGCCAGGTTGGGGGCGTGGCCCTGTGGTTAGTGTTGTGCGGCGCTGTATAAACTCGAAAGTGCTACTTTTTCTTGGACGTGCATGCTACCTTAATCCCTCCCTACGTCCCTGGCCTCGTGCTCCGGTCATTTCGGGGCTTCCAGGGGAATTGCCGTAACCTTCTTCGTCTTCTCCTTCTGCCCTCCCTCCCAGAAGGTCCGCGATGAGACCCTGTCAGAATCAATGGGGCACTTGGTCGTTTCATGCAGGCTTGTAGCCTGGTGACCAAGATCACCGGTTTTGGAAGTCTGGGAATCCTAAGTCAGCCAGTTACCATGTGACTCTGTGAGCAAGTCACTTAACYTCTCTGGGCCAGGTACTCGTCCATTAAGTGGGAACGGTAGTAACAGCATCTCTCTTTTAGGTTGTTGAGAGGATTAATCGGCAGTTGTTTGCAGAACACTCGATTAAATAGTAAACGTTCAATAACTGTTAACTATGATAATATTTGTGAAATGAGGGGTGTAAGGGGAAATGTAAATTAAAAATAAGAATTAAAGTTTTTCACCGGTGAAAAGACTCTTCTCCCCTCACTTTTCTTTTTTTTTTTATTTTTTTAAATATTTATTTATTTATTTTTAGTTTTCGGCGGACACAACATCTTTGTCTGTATGTGGTGCTGAGGATCGAACCCAGGCCGCACGCATGTCAGGCGAGCGCGCTACCGCTTGAGCCACATCCCCAGCCCTCCCCTCACTTTTCTTCGAGCATTTTTTTTTTTAAAGAAAACTTGTAATTGTGAATTCTTTCTCTATTCTTTTTGAGATGCATGGAAATCTTTTTATAAGGTAAGTAAACCTCTTACCAGTTTTCCACCCAGGAAGGTATTTCTCAAGGGCCTGGGATATGTAATCCTGAAGGATATTAGTGCTTTATCTCTCTCCCGGTTTCTTTGGGAGAGTAGGACCCTAACTTCCTGCGGATGCTTGTCTCCCATCTGCAAACCTTTCTGTGATAAAGAAAGAAGTTATTTTTACTTTGYACAAAGGCAAATTAGCAAACCCAGGTAGCTAACCCATTTACCAGATGAATTTAGGATGAACTCTGTGTGACAAATGGAACTATCAAATCCTCCTCTTACTTGAACACTATTTATCTCTCCTTTTTGGGGGGGTTCTGGGGATTGAACTCAGGGGCACTTGACCACTGAGCCACATCCCCAGTTCTATTTTGTATTTTATTAGAGACAGGGTCTCACTGAGTTGCTTAGCACCTGGCTTTTTGCTGAGGCTGGCCTTGAACTCGCTATCTTACTGTCCCAGCCTCCTGAGCTACTGGGATTATAGGCATGCACCACCTCCTCCAGCTATAAATTCTTTCTGTCTTTGCAATCTCTTTAGTGGATTGCCTGCCCTGCACACCACATTCYTATTCAATAATAAAACTGTTTTCTTGCTCTTTTGCCCTTGCAGGGAAGGTTTCTGGGTTGATAGGAGATTTTGTTTTCAATTATGGATCCCCAATAGGGGTTAGTCTTTTCCAAGGTCTCTTTACCACGTCCCACAGTGCTCTGTGACTCCCTGCACACAAGACTTACTGCTGTTCCATAATGATCAGTTTTGAGTCTCTATCATCAGAATGGGAGCCCTCAGAGAGAGAGTGAGCTGAGCCATTTTTGAAATCCTGCTTTGGCACAGGGTCTAGATGCTAGATAGGAGCTGGCTGAAGGAAAGAAGGAAGGAGGGAAGGGAGGAAAGGGAGGAAGATGATTTGGAGACTGTAATTGACTGCTAGGGCCCTGAGAAGAAACAGAGACTCAAGTACACTCAAGAGTTTCCAAAAACAATAACAAAACCCAAAATAAAAATAAAAAAATTTAAATGACGATTATTACAGAAAACAAGCACAAAAAGCTAGAGGGTGTGTGTGTGGGGGAACAGAGTGTTACCTGGTTTTTAAAGTATGCAGGTGGCCTGGGACATGGTCACTTGGGGGAAAGAGAGGGACAGGGGGCCCTTTCCTGGGGCTAGGTAGTTTTTAGGGATGAATGGATTTATTGACCCTTCCTCTGGATAGTCCAGGCCCTTAAAGAGGCAGGCCCAGGTGGGGAGACTCAGGGAGCCTTAAAAGCTCTCCAGTTCTTCTACCCCATGGACCTGGAGTCCCTGCAAGAGGGGGAAGTCAACCAGTGGCCCAAAGACACAGTCGTTCTCCTGGCTTTGGGGTGGGGGCACTGGGGTCCCTAGGGGGCTGGTCTGGAACCAAAGATTCTCATAGGACTTAGGACTTGGGGTGAGGCCCCCTAAGAGAGGCTGGGTGGAGTCACAGCGGAGGTAGTGCCCAGGCTCTGGACTGGTGGGGCTGCCCAGCACCTGCCCATAAAGGACCTGGTCACTGGTGCCAGACTGGGGCTGGGACTGTGTGGAAACTGCCCTTGGGTCCCCCTGGAGCACATAGGCCTGGACCAGGGTGGGGAGGCCACAGGTCTCTGAGCTGTCACYGGACTCCCAGGGCCCTGGCTTCTTCTCCTCTTCTTCTAGCACGGTGATCTTGGTGATGGTTGGCATGCCAGGGTCCCAAAGACTGGGCAGCTGGAAGGTCTCCTGGACATAAGGAAATGGAGTGAGGACACAGTTCATGTCAGGTGTCTGCCCCAGCCACTGTCCCTTCTTGAGTTGGGGCAGCTGTAGGACATCCCCGCTGCTATCTGGCAGAACACACAGGATCATATTTGCAAGGCACCTGTACATTCCTGACACCTGTCTGACAGGAGCAGCASTGTGCTACTCAGACTCAGCACTGTGGATATTCTCATCTCACAGTGAGGTGACTGGCCGAATCCTTGAAATGGGCCAAGTTGGGACTCAAACTCAGGGTGGCTTCACTCCACAGGGAAGGAATCTTGTTTCAAGTGACGGGGAGGCCTGTGTGCTCATCCTCGGGAAGGAATCCCACATCTCCAGCCCCTGTCCCCTCTCCTCCAGTTCCTCACCTCTGCCATGATGGTGGGCACCCAGGAGCCCAGGCTGCTGTGGGCTGGGTCTGGCACGCTTGGCCAGAGGGGATTCTTCCTGCTGGAGAAGGGGGGCATGTAAAGGCGGGGTCAGGCATGCCTTCCCAGCTTTCCATCCTTTGTCCCGCTCACCCCAGCAGCTGCCCCTTAGTGCCGAGAGGAGGAGGTGGAAGTCAGGCTTCCCAGACATGGGCCCCAAGGTCTAGGYGGGCTGGGCCTTAGACTGACCCACTCTGGCCTGCAGTGGTGCCCTGTGGGTAGGAGTAGCTGGGTGTCACTCCTCCCAGAGGACTCACCTGGGGCTGCAGTAGACCCAGGCAGTTCTACAGAGGCAGATGGACAAAACCAGGAGGCCAGACAGGCTTAGGAAGATGTACAGCTCTGACTCCCCTGGGGAGAGGGGAAAGCCAGAGAGGTGAGGACATGTGAGGAAGGGTGGTTTCCTTCCTCAGGCTCAGGTCCCCAGGCAGGGCCAGGTCTACTTCAAAATCAGGATCCTTTGAGTGGGGCACCCTTCCACTGCCCAGTCCCCCTTTCCCCTTACCTAAGGCCAAGGTCATCAGGGTGAGGCCTGTACTGTTGGTGGTCCCAGCCTGGCTGGCAGCCATGAGGTGGACRTGGTACAAACTTGCGGGTTTCAGGTCATGGAGGACAAAGCCACGGGAGGAGGCATTCAGGATGGTGGCTGGGATGGGGCACATGCCAGCTTAGGCTGGGGTGCTGAGGCTGCCTCTGTGACTGCTAAGCACCCCCTCCTGGGCCTTCTGGGACTGTGGGAGGCTGAGGATAGACTCACAGGAGGACTGGTCCTGGAGATTGGTCCAGAAGATGGTGTAGTGGGTGAGTGGGCTCTTCCCTAGCTCAGGGGGCTCAGGTACCCATTCCAGCTGTGCCCAGGTCTTGCCAATGTGCTTTAGATGGAGCCTTGGGGCACGGGAGGGGGCTGTGGGAAGAGAGTACAGGGGAGGGGTTCAGGGCAAAGAAACTGATTGGACTTCTGTGGGTCCCTGAACCCAGGAAATGGGACATACTGTGGATGGCTGAGAAAAGAGAGTCCAAGGGGACATCCTCCTCCCCTCACCCCTAGTACTGATGAGCCCAGGGGTGCTCTACCACTGAGCTATACCCCCAGTCCTTTTTAATTTTTATTTTGAGACAGGGTCTCACTAAATTGCCCAGGCTGACTTGGAACTTGGGATCCTCCTGCTTCAGCCTCCTGAGTTGCTGGGATTACAGGTGTGTGCCACTGCGCCTGGCTTTGCAGGGATTTTATCAATTACATGTACTGCTAATAGGGAGCAGAGCCAGGACTTGAGCCCAGTTCTGTTTGACTTTAAACCTACTCCCCCACCCGACTTCTGCCAGGTCTGCTTTTGTCTGACTCACTGTCTGATCTCTGCCGCTCACCCTCTGAATCTATCAGATGTGGCACCTGATTTCTGTCAGGGCCATTGATCAATTTTATGAGACTTCATCTCTGAAATCTGCCAATTCAGTCCCACTTTCTATTAGCCCACCACCTGATTTCAGGGGTCTGGTGTAAACCGAGGGTCATCTTAGGACTGGGAGTGACCCTCTCCAGGACCAGGAGTCGGGCGAGGCAGGACATGTTCCCTCATATTTGTGATTGCTRGGGCCCACGCAGGCCCTGGAGGAGAGAGGAGGGGGTTTGGGGGAGGGGCCTGATGGCTGACAAACCCATCTCTTGGGAGTAGGCGTAGATTTGCTTGGAGGGTCCCCCGGTGCCTTGGTATAGGGGCGTCACAGTGATCTCATAGAGCTGAAAGGGCCTGATGTTCTCTGTRGAGAGAAAATGGGGGCAGGCGCTCTGGTTGGGGCTGACCTCTGCTGAGGACCAGGATGTAACCTCGGACTGTTGCCATGGCTAACCTGGCCTCAGGGCTCAATGTCACACTCCCTTCCTTAGATCATTTGATGGGGTTAGGGAGAAAAAGTGCAGGAGAGTGCTAGCAGGGTGGCGGGTCAGGACTGTAGAGAGGGGACCAGGTTGGACTGCAGGAAGAACTTCTGGATGTGAGGATGTGAGGTGAGAAGGAGGAGGGCCCAAGCAAGGCTGGGGACTCTGCCTTGAGGGCAGTTGATGCTKCCCTTGCTCCTGTCCATCAGAGCCCAGCTGCCCCACCTCTCAGGCCCGTCTCACCCTGCAGCACAGTCCCCGTGATGTTCTCGTCAAATTCCATCTTCCAGCTCTTATTGCTGCTGCTGGGGCTGGGGAGACCCGGGCCCCACTCTATCAGATAGCCCTGAGGCCGARGGCTGGGGGGCTCCCAGTGCACCCAGAGGCTGTGAGGGTCTCTGGCTGTGGCTTGGAGTCTGGTGAGGGGTGGGCCTGGAGACAGAGTGGACACGGTGGAATGAAGGTGAGAAGAACACAGGCATTGGAACCCGAAGCCTGGGTTCAAATCCTAGCTTTGCTGCCTACTGGCTGGGACACCTTGGGCAGGTCAACCTCTGAGCCTCAGTTTTCTCATCTGTAAAGTGGAAGTGATGATGAAATTTCCCGTCCTGTAGGGTCTTGATGCAGATTAAGTGAGATGGTGTACACTAAGGGCACAGCACAGTGATGAGCGTGAGCAGTGCTGGATGACGACCTGARCGCTGTGGAGTTCCTGGTATGTGCTAAGCACAGTCCTTGATGTGTGTTAACTCACTGAGTCCTCTAACTGTCCCACCAGGGAGGTACCACTATTGTCCCCATTTTATCAATGAGGAAATTGAGAGACAGAGAGAGGTTAAATAATTTATTGAAGGTCACACAGCTCTAGCCTTAGTTGTTGTTATTGATATTGTGGTTATGCATCCCACAGTAGGAGAGCCCATGTTTAGGGATGCTGCGGGGGTGGTGGGTGATCAGTTAGCTCATGGACCATGTTGTAGTTGGAAAAGCTCAGGGCTTTATCACTCAGCTTTCTAGGCAGAGCTCAGTGTGTGTGTGTGTGTGTGTGTGTGTGTGTGTGTGTGTGTGTGTGTATTGACACCACTACCAGCTTAACCTGATTCTGGCTGATGATGGATGGTATTAATAGCTAACCTGTATGGTACAGTTACTTTTTGTCAGGACTCTCAGAAGGCACAGTTTCGTCCCCATTTGCGAGCCCTTGAGTAGACAGAGGCCAGGGAAGGGAGTAACTTGCCCGGGTCACACTGTCAGTGAGTTTGAGGACTAGATTTCAACCCAGGAAGTCTGGCCTTCAAATTTATACCCCCACCCCCACCGTGTTCTTCTGGCTGCCAGCTCCCCTTACCGTTGCTATCCAGGAAGTCCACTGGGATGAGAGTGGGATGAGAGGTCCCCGCTGTGTTGTAGGCCACAAGGGTCACCTCCTGGGCTTCTGAAGGCAGGCAGAAGGTGCAGTTAAGGTCTGTGGTGTTGCAGAGGGGCAGGGCTGTCTCAGCCTGGCCAGAGGGTCTCCAGGAGAGCAGGTACCCCTGGATCTGCCCGCTGTATTCCTTCAGGGGCGTTGGCTGTGGCAGGCAGAGGRGGAAAATAGAGAGGGGGGTATTCGGCTTGTTTTGAGCAGGGAAGAGCCTCTAGTGGGGGGGGGCAGGTCACAGGAGCTGAGCCCCAGCGGGAGCCAGGCTTCCMGCTTCTTCCCTCCCTCCTCCCCGGTTCCCTGTGCCAGGTTCTAGGAGTGAGGGAAGGGAGAAGCCAGTGGCCATTCCAGGCCCTTAACCACTCATTGAGTGAACCTCTGGGGCCCAGGGGAGTCCTGCGTTGCTGCATTGCTGAGGGTCACTACACGGCTTCTTAGGCTCATGCAAACTACAAGTCACCTATAAATCCCCAAGCCTCCTGGGCCTGTTGGAGTCCTGAGACCCAGCTGCAGGGGTCTGCCTGGGTTGGAGGGTTGGCCTCAGAGGGACTCACCTTCCAGAACAGCTGCACGCCCTTTGTCCTGGGGTCCAGCTGCCTGTGCCGCCACCATGTGTCCAGTCTGACGAAGGGGGCTATGGATGGAGCAAGAGGAGGAGGGGGTCTAGTCGGGGAGGGCCCTGGGGGGGTCCTGATGGCTGCTGCAGACCCCTCACCTCCCGCTTACCCGGCTCAGCCGTTCTCAGCTCCAGGCTGGGGCTCCAGCGGCTCCAGTGGCCAGGCAGGTGAGAGCGGATGCAGCGCACCTGCAGGGCGTAGGCTGTGGCTGGAGGGAGCCCACAGAGCTCATGCTGGAGGATGTTTGAGGGCAGCGTGGCCACCTGGGGGGTGTGGGAATCTGAGCCTGGGTCTCTGGATCCTCCCTTCAGCCCCCTGCAGCCCCTGAGGGTGCCCCCGCCTCACCTGAGTCCAGTTGGCCTCTCCACGCTGTGGCCGGAGGCGCAGCTCACACTTCTGGTCCATGAACAGGCTYGGCTTCCATGGCTCCCAGTGTAGCCACAGGCAGCCTGGCTGACGTGGGGCCACGGCCCACAGTGTAGGGGGCTCCAGTTTCACTGCAAGGAGTGGGGTTCTCAGACCTCTCCCTGCCTCACCCTACAGAGCTCTGCCTTAGCTCTCCCTATCTCCCTGTCCATGGTTCCATTTTCCTCCCTGGGTCTCCATCCATGTGGTCTCTGTTTCTTTCTGTCTTTTCACTCTGTCTACGTTACTTTTCTGTGGTTTCATACTCCTGTCCTAGGGCCTTTGCACTGATTGTCACTTCCGCTTGGAATACTTTCCTCTCAAATTATGCAGTGGCTTGCTCCCTTGGTTCCTCTAAGGATCTACTTGTCACCTTCTTGGTCATCTGACCTTCTGTTTTATTTATTTGGCCCACGAGAATGTAACATTCTGAGGGTGAAATTTTTGATGTTTTATTCACTGCTGTATCCCTAGGACCTCAAACAGTGCCTAGCACACAGTAGGCACTTCAAGAAATTAGCTGAAAGAAAGAAAGGATGAATGTGTTTCTTGGTCTGTGTCCTCATGCCTGTCTCCAGCTGTACCCTTGTGGTCCCTCTTGTCTGCCTCTCTATCTGGGTCTTCTGGGGTCTCCTTGTCTGTCCCCAGGTCTGTGTTTCTCTCTCTGTGCATCTCTGGGTCTGCCCATTTTGGGGACTTCTCTCCTCCCCTGCACCCAGTATCACCCACCAACATCCATGGGATCAAGGCACAGCTTTGGGGACAGGCTGGTCCCCAGCGCATTCTCTGCCTGTACTTGGATGACCATATTCTGGTACAAGAGCAGGTGTTTGCGGGGGATGGAGCAGGAGCTCTGCCCGTCCTCAGGCACGCAGTCCGGGATGGAGTCCTCCTGGGTCTGACAGTTGCTCCGGCTCCTGCCAACAGGCCAGGCTTGGGTGCCAAGCAGAGAAGGGAGACGATGACCCCTGCTCCTCCCACCTCTGCCTCCGAACCTCCAGCCCCATGGCCCCACTCAGGCTCCACCCAGGATCAGAGGAAGGGGGCTGGGCCAGGGCCCCTGCTCACTTGAAGCTCTTTAGGGTGAAGTTGGTGGGCAGGTGGGTGTCGGGTCCTGGCTCCCACTGGCAGGTGAGACTGTTGGTCGTGAGGTTCATGAAGCAGGATAGGTTGGAGGGTACGGCAGGAGGGTCTGGGAAGAATGGAGAGCTTTGGGTGGGACCACTCAGAAAGCTTCTGCTTGCTTTGTTTCTTGCCTGGGTGAGTCCCTCTGGGGTCACCTTGTCCATTCCCCGGTCTCCACTGCAGTGTGACCACGGAGGGGCATCTCTGGGGGAAGCCAGTTGCAAGCATATACGGGGAAGCATCCCAAACCCCACCAGCCTGTGGTCCTGGCATCTAACCCTCCCCCACCCCCAGGCCCCTTTCCTGTGGCCGTGTAGCATCTGGGTTTCATTCTGGCGCTGCCATTCATTAGCACGTGACCTTGATGTTACTTAGCTGCCCTGGGCCTCCGTTTCCTTATCCATAAAGCTGGGCTGTTGGTTATCGTGATGACTGAAGTACTCAGAACAGTCCTGCACGTAGCAAGTGCTATATACCTACATACCTGTTACTTGATATTACTGATTCTTTTTTTTTTTGGTACCAGGGATTGAACCCAGGRGCACTTAGCCACTGAGCCACATCTCCTTGCCTCACACGTGTGAGGAACTGGGTTCAATTCTCAGCACCACATATAAATACATAAATAAAGTCATTGACAGCTAAAAATATATTTAAAAAAGTGTGGGGAGCCATTCTCACACGTGATCGGGTGCCTCCCGTTAAGGGTCTGAGGCACTTTGGCAAAAGTCGAAGTTTTTCCCGGCCCTTTCCTGATGAGAGAGCCCATCCATGTGGGGGTGTGCCTGACCACTGACCCCGGGGACCCAATCACTGACCCTGACCTTGGAGTGCAGCCCCCCCTCAACCTTCATTGGATGGAATTCTCCCCTGAATCTCTTGTTCCCTAATAAAAGGCTAGTCCCCAGAGTGCTCTCTCTCTCTCTCCTGCTAGCCCTGAGTAATCCCTGCTGTCCTGCTGGGCAGTTTAGAGGAGCGAACCAGAGAGGGGAGCCGTCTTGGACCTAGCAATAGAAATAAGGTAATTGAGTCTTGTGTTTTTATTTCGATCTCTTCTAACTAACTTTATGCCTAGAACCTCATTAATGAAACCACTGCGCAGGCCGCGTGGTAGAAAAAAGATTGAACTCAGGGCCTCATGCCTTCTGGCAAGTATTCCATTACTGAGTCACAACCCCAGCCCTCAATTTTCAATTTTTATTTTGAGACAAGGTCTTGCTAAGTTACTTAGGGCCTTGCTAAGTTGCTAAGGCTGGCCTTGAACTCTCTCTATTCCTCTATCCTCAGCCTCCCAAGCCTCTGGGATTATAGACGTGAGCCACTGTGCCCAGCTGCTATTACTGATTCTTAAATAAGAACCTTGGTCCTTGTTTTCTCCTTATGCCTCAGCTTGACTCCATCTTGCTCAATTTGGAAAGAAGGCTGAGACTTGGATGGGGGAGAAGCTGGGCACAAGCCTAGTAGGTGAGGCTGCCCTCTTTGGACCCGCCTCCTAGGTCTGAGGCTTATTCAGCAGCCACATAGAGAGGTAGCGGTTGCCACCCTGCTTGAGTGCCACACTGCCTGATATAAATCTTGTTCCAACCTTATTAGTGTGTGACCTTTGGCAAATCACTTATTCTTCCCAGATGTCAATTTCCTTATCTGCAAAATGGGGCGAAATGGTATTACCCCTGACAGGGACAGTTCCCTGGGATCAGACCCATGGAGTGCTTATCCAGCAAGAGCTCCTAGTGGGGCTGGCAGGAGAGCACTGGAGGAGAGCAGCCAGATGGCTGCAGGACTTACGGCCTGCCCGCAGCTCAGCTTGGTCCAGGACTTGCAGGCTGTTGCCCCAGCGCAGGCAGCAGGAGAGGAAGGCCTGACTGTGGTTGAGGTGGGCCAGGGTGATGGTGGACTTCTGGGTTCCATCAGGCAGGCGCTGCTGCCTCCCCCCAGGCTGCTGCTGTGCTCCCAATTTCCAGAGAATCTGTGGTTCCGGGTCCAGGAAGCTGCAGTTCTGGCTGATAATGCAGGAGGCTGTGATGGGGTCCCCCAGGCGGACAATGGGGGCCGAGAGGCTGATGTGCCCACACTCCTCCCAGCCTGGGTGGAAGAGAGTGGGCCATGAAGGACTCCTCTGCCTGGCAGACCTGCGCTGGGTCTAGCCTTGGGCACGCCTGGGTTCAGGGCTCTCATCTCCCTGCCTCGTCTCTTAAGACATGGRACCTGGAGCAGGGGTGGGTATGGGCACTGCATGAGGCTAACAGTGGTGCTGGTCAGTGATGGTCAGCGGCTCTATAGACCCTGATTTGTAGCACGTGCTGCTTCCCATGGTGTGAATGCTCTCATCACGACTGATGTCAGACCACCACTGTGTCCTCCCTGAATTCAGAGCAGGGAAGAGGCGTGCACAATCAGTCCTTGCAAGCCAGCCCAGCTCTCCACCAGAGTCCCCTCCCCGAGTGTGATGAAAGCAATGTTTAAAGTGATAAGAACCTTGCAGCCACCACAGTCTCCTCAAGAGGCAAATCTGATTGTGTGAGCCCTCCTCTGTCACAGCCCTCGAAAGGCACGCCAGTGTAGAAGACAGCATGGCATGGCTGGGCAGAGCCTGGATGTTGGAACAAGACTGCTCAGGTTCAGATCCTGGATCTGTTGCTTGCTAATGATGGGACTCTTGTGTGTGTCACTGAGGTTTTTCTGTGCCTCACCTTTCACGACCATAAAAGGGTGATAAAAATGGTCCCTACCTTAGTGTCACTGGAAGAAACAGATGTGGTAACACACGTAAGGCACCTGGGCACAGCCTAATCCTCAACCCGGCTGCCCCTGGGGTCTCGTGCCAGTGCCTGGCATGTATATAGGTGCTTGCTGATAGTGTTAGGATAAAGACCTGGATCCTTCTCCCAGCCCTGTGACCTGAACCCCTGCCTCATTTGCTCCATTCCAACTCAGACCATCATCTCGGCTGCAGCCACTTGGGGGGGTATATATATATATATATATATATATATATATATATATATATATATATATATATATAATTTATATAAATTAAATTATATAAATTTATATATATATATATATATATATATAAATTTTTTTGTACTGAGGATTAAACCCAGGAGTGCTTAACCACTGAGCTACATCCCCAGCCCTTTTTTATATTTTAATTAAAGATAAGGTCTCACTAAGTTGCTTAGGTCCTTGCTGAGTTGCTGAGGTTGGCTTTAAACTCAAGATCCTCCTGCCTCAGGTTCCCGAGCTGCTGGGATTACAGGCATGAGCCACTGTGCCCACCCACTTAGACTCTCAAGTTCTGTGAGGCCGGAGACCTTGACCATTTTGCTTATTGCTACATTCTGGGCATAGAGTAGGCCTGTGGGGACTATTTCTTGAATCAGGAGTGAACACACACCTGGCCCACGAAGCCTCTCTCCTCTCTCAGGTGTTCTGAGGCCCATTTTGCTGATGGGKATGCTGAGGCCTTGAGAGGAGGAGCTGTTTGCCCAGGGTGACAGAGCAAGTTCACGATTCTCAATGTGGGGCTTTAACTTCCACAGACTCAGATTTCAGGCTGGAAGGGACTCTACGAAGTTGTCTACTTCAAAACACTACCCGACACCACCTGAGCTATTTTTGTATGGCCTGCTGGCTAAGAAACCTTTTTATATTTTTAAATGGATAAAAACAAATAAAATAAAAGCCACATAAGAATGTCAGAGACTGTACATGGCCTGAAAAGTCTAAATATTCCTCTCAAAGTTTGCTGACCCCTGTCAATCCTGGCCTCAGCTTGCATACCCTCAGAGATGGGAAGCTCTTTACCTCTCAAGACAGAGCTTCTGGGGTTGGAGGACTCTCCCTGGGCTTTCTCATTTTAGGATGAAACCTGTCTCCTGTGGCTCCTCCTGGATCCCCTTGCTGCTTACAAAAGCTGCACAGACCCAGAGTTTTTTTCTGACAGCCTGGCAGAGATATAGATAAGACCTGTAGGACCCCCACCTTTCCTGGGCTGACCCCCCAGGCCCTCTCACCATTCCTCTTGGTGGGTGAGGCCTGCAGGTGGGTGCACAGCTACCCCACCTATGGCTCCTATAATCCTCCCGCCTCGTTGTCCACCCCCTACCTCCCTACCACACTCACTTCCGGGCAGCAGCAGGATGATCAGGGCAGCTTTGGTCAGGGTGCAGGCTTCCAGCCCTGCCATAGCGCCAACTTGGTGCTCACCTGGAGGCAAAGGGGGGGGTGGTCAAGGTGAAGGATTTGGAGTCAGAGCTGGCTTAGCCAACTTACTTGACCTATCTGAACCTCAGTTTCTTTGCAAAATGAAGTTAACAGTAGCCTATACTGCACAGGGCTTTGAGAAGAAGACACGAAATAATAAAAGACAAGGGCTTTGCACTGTGCCTGGCCCATAGAAAATGACTCTGTGACCACTATAGTCATCATACCTGCCTTCCAGGAACGGGCAGGGACAGGAGCAGCAAGAAAAGACATTCTTCCCTTTTTCCCTCTATCTAAGCCAGGCACTCTCCAGAAGCCTCGGACAAGGGTTTCATGCAGATAGTTTATTTTGGGARGATCCCAGAAGCAGGTGAGACATTGGCAAGATTGAAACAGGTCAAGAGGGCACGCCAACATAGGGCTGTGATGTCGACTGGTCACCTCTGTGGACAACTGGGGTTGATCTACTGAAAGTGACCAAGGAGCCCTGTAGAACACTGCTCCAAACTGTCTACCAAAGGGACAATTTATCTCTTGGATGGGAGGCAGGACAGAAACCTCTCCTCACTGACTCCTGCCTTCCCGTTCATTGGTCTAGAGATGCCCCTTGGTGTAGGTTACTGGCCTCTCCAGGTTGCACGTTTGTGAGTACCAGTAAGTCCTGTAGGTGAGCCCTGTCTGGTCCTCCCAGACTCCCTTGAAGAGCTCCACAGAGTGGCTGAGGTCAGGGCTGCAGGTCTCACCTGCAGGAAGCTGGCTGCCATGGCAACGRCTACAGGAAAGAGCAGACTGAGAGGCTATCAAGTGGGGCACACAAGGCGTCCCAAGTGCCCCCAGTTCTGGGGGACACATGACTACAGACTTCTGTAGTCATTGTCACAGTGACTAAATGGAGGGAGTTTTGGCTCCAGTTTAGGGAGTATACACGTGTTTTTATCACCAGGGTGGGTGTCCAGCCTAACTCTCAACCCTGCTGCTCCTGGGGTCTCATGCCAGATGCCTGACCCTGCAGCATTAGTTGGCTCCCTATGTCCGATCAGTGGGGATCGCTGACCAGCCTGCATGGCCCCAGCAGATCCCCTGTGCTCTGCAGGGAGAGAGCTAGGAGAATCTTTCTCTCCCTCTCAGACAGAGGACTGGATAAGAATGGCCCTGATGGGCTGACCCTGCTTGTTGGGGCCTCGCCTGAACCCCTAATTTATCATTACGTATTGCAGTATCAGGATACCTGATGACTGCTAGCCCCCAGGTCACCTCTGTGCAAATCAGAGGAAAAAGCACCCCTTCCTCTGGCAACTGGGGGACAGGCTGGATTTCAGTCCCCAGTTGCTCCTAACCCAGGTAACTTGTGCACTGAGAAACTTGCACAGCCATCCAGAGCACTAGTCAGAGGTTGGCAACCTTCTCACTAGCGCACACTAGTTTGGTTATCTCCCTGGCCCAACACACATGGGCAGGGGAAGATTTAGCCTCTTAGATGCAGATTTTGGGATCCTGGTTCCCATCTCCCTGTGGTCGGGTCATTCTCTGGCTCTGCTGCCCTAGCAAGGGTCGGCTGCAGGCCCAGCCTTTRCCTAGGGAGGTACACACTGGCTCTTGTCCAAAGTGGGCAGTCAACCCAGAGAAGCCCTGGCTCCTCCCCCTGGGTTGCTGAATGTGGGCATTTTTGGTCCCGACAGCGTTTTTGGTCCCTGGTCCCCACAGCAGTCCTGGGTACCCAGGGGCAGGGGAGCTGGCACTTCCTGGAGCACAGTCTTACTCTCCAGAGGACCAGGATGCAAAGAGGCTGGGAGCCCAGTGCCGAGTCAGATCACCTGCTCCGGCCTCTAGCTCTCCTACTTACCAGCTTTGTGACCTTGGACAAGTTACTTCACTCTTCCGAGCCTCAGTCTCCCCATCTGTGAAAAGAGGTGACAATAGTGCCTGCTTCTCAGTGTTGTTAGGACAATGAAATGGGCTCTCAGTGACCACCGGGGTTTCCATGAGCCATAAAGCAGGATGCCATCTCATGGAGCCCAGCATGGCTTAGTCCCCTACTCCCTGGCTGAGTGGTCACAGCCACCTAGGACTGCCACCTTGTTTTTGTCTGGGTCACACTGCAGTTTCAAAGCCCCATTCTGGGCTTCCCCTTGTAATTTCTTGTCCCTCTGTGCCTGCCACTACAGCCACCTCTGCTGGGCTCTGCAGCTCCCTGGACCCTCGGTCCCCAGCACTCAGGATGCCTGTCACCTGCAGTGGCTGCTGCCACGCCCTCTTTCTCTCCCCTMTCCCTTCCTCCCAGCACACTCTGCTTCCCTCCTCTGCTCCCTCTCCATTCCTGCTCTTTTGAAATTCTTTCTGTGGGAAGAGAGAGGGAGGGAGGGAGGGAGGTTGGGGCTGGGAGTGAGTCAAAGGAGAGGGCTTCCCAAATGTGGTTCAGAGACAGAGAGGGAGGGGCAGAAAGGAAAAAAAGACAAAGAAACAGAAAACAGAAAAGAAACAAAGCAGGACAGAAGGACAGAGGAAGGCAGGGTTGGAGATGGTAGAGACCTACAGAGATAAAGAATGAGGCTGGAGAGGCCAGGTCGGGTAGTAGGTGGTAGGTGCCTGTAATCCCAGCGACTCAGGAGGCCGAGGCAGGAGGATCATAAGTTCAAGGCCATTCTAAGCAATTTAGTGAGAACCTGGCTCAAAAAAAAAAAAAAAAAAAAAAAGCATTGGAGATATAAATCAATAGTAGAACACCCCTGAGTTCAACCTTCAGTTAAAAAGAAAATAGAAAAAAGAAGAAGAAATGAAGAGGCTCCAAAATAGAGTCTTCAAAAGACAGAAAAGGAGTCCAAGAGACCCAGAGACATCTCAGAGGCCAAGAAAATAACCTGACATCTCAAATTTAAGGTTAAGAGACAGAAGCGCGAGAGACAGAAGGACCGGAGAGGGAGGAGAGGGAGCGGCTGAGGGGAAGAGATGGGAACTGAGAGTGAAGCAGACCCAGACAGGAGCCGGCCGCCTGGCACAGGCAGCCACGCCGGCCTTGGAGAGACAGAGACAGGAGAGGGGGACGGTTACGGCCATCCCTGATGTGAGCCCAGCTCCGTGTCCCCACAGAGAAGTTGGTATGTGCAACTTCCCTGATGCAATCCCAGAGAGACACCTGGTTCCCAGGGACCCATCTCAAAGACAGGAGCCTGGCCCAGGCCCACGGCCACGGGCACCTGGCGGAGCTGGGGGAGTGGATCAGGACTCAGCCCTCCCTGGGTGTCCCCTACTCACGCTGGAGCCCGTGGCAGGCGTGCCTGGCCTCCTGCTCTCCACTCTTCAAGGCAAGTTCCTGAAATGGGCTACGGTCGGGCTTCTTTCCCCAGCCCTGTCGTTAATGACAGGCCGGGGGCCTGGGGATTGCGACACCTTCCCGTCCTCCCTCTTCCCTCCCCTGTGCCTTTGCGGGCACAGGCAGCCCCTTCCTCCCAGGAAGGTGCCTGTGAGGGCAACTGGTGAGGCCAGACGGCCTTCCTGCCTCTGGGGTCTTAAGGGCTGGGGTGTGTGGCAAGCGTGTCCCCGTCTCCTACCTCCGGATTTCCTGGGCTCGGAGCCTGGAGGCCAGGCAGGACCAGGTTGCAGCCGGGTGCCCCCACCGTGGGTTTTCGAGTCAGCTTATTTTGCTGCTGTGACTAAAAGACCTGACAAGAACAATTTTAGGGGAGGAAAAGTTTATTTTGGGACTCGGAGTTTGAGAAATCTCAGTCCATAGGTGGCTGGCTCCATCCCTCAGGGCTCGAGGTGAGGTGGAAGAAAGCGGCTCACATGACGATCAGAAAGCAGAGGGACTCCAGTCACCAGATTCAAAACACACCCCCCAGAGGCCTGGCACCCATGCCCCCTCCAGCCAGCCCCACCTGCCTCCAGCCCCAACTCAGCACAGCCCGTCAGGGGCGCGACCCACCGATCAGGTCAAGGATCCCATAACCCRGTCGTTCCCCTCGGTACCTTTTGCATTGACCCCGTGAGCTTTTGGGGGACACCTCATGTCCAAACCATAACACTGGGAGAGTGTCACTGGGAAGCACACCTGGCTCTGAGGCTCCCTCCGTCCCCAGCTCTTTCCACACACGTCTTAGGACCCTGATCCTTGTGGCCGACAGGAGGGCACCCTCCAGGTTGAAGGGTTTATAGCAAGACACAGCCCCCCTTCACTCCATCTTCTCCGCCATTGCCCATGGCCAGGCAGATGGAGAACTGGGGGCTCCAGGGACAAGACAGGTTCGTCCTGGTGGGGTACGTCCTGGGGTCTTCATATGCTCATTAAAAATGACTAATGTTGGGGCTGGGGCTGGGGCTCAGAGGTAGAGAGCTTGCCTAGGATGTGTGAGGCCCTGGGTTCGATTCTCAGCACCACATATAAATAAGTAAAGGTCCATCAACAGCCAGTAAGATATTTTAAAAAACGACTGATGTTTACTCAGTGTTACCCTGAATGTTTCCAGTTGAGGTTTTCATCTGCAGTTGTTGACAGATGCCTTTTTGTGGGGGGTTCAGACTGCTCAGCGTCTCTCAGATTCACCRCCCACTAATGGTCAGGTACCAGCAGGGTGGCAGTGTGGCTGTCGGTCCTTTAGGGGACATGGGYTTCTGGGGCTGGTGTGAGGGGGCAGTCCTAGGCGTTAGTCTGGTTCTGGGTCCGAGTACCGARACGGCTGCCTGCCGCCGTCTCCCTGGCACATTCCGCAGGCTCCTCGTGCCCCAGATCCCATGACTCTTCTTTCAGAAAATAGCCAGAACCCTGGGCATATGGGCGCTCACGCTGAAATGTGGCTCTGCTCTGTGTTGAATATCCTCCTGACAACATGTTGGAAAACAAACTCACCGCTAATGCCAGAGACGGAAAGGCCCATGCCACCCTTCCCTGTCGCCCAGATGGTGGCGGCGGCCCCCTCCCTGGTCTCCTGTGTCCATYTGTCCCTCCTCCTGCACCTGTCTGCTCTTCTCCAGCAGCCAGAGTGATGGCGATC